CGCGTGGTGTTTCTCAGCCTGCACTCGCAGGTCCTTCGGAGGTCAATTGTTATGAGTTCGGCACGGTCTCGGTCAAGTACAGCGTGCTGTGGGGATCCCGAGATGGGGCCTGGCTCAAGGTGCTCAAGAAGTACTGGAGTGTCCCAGAGCCGGAGTGCCAGCTGATCCTCGGGAGTTGGAACGGCATTTTCAGGCCGTGGCCGGACACGTTCTGGATCAGGACGGGGGGGTCCGAGCCCGAGATAGATGCTAGCGCTCTGCAGTACAAGTGCTTTTTCAGCATGCGACATCCTGCGGTGCTTCTCAGCCTGCAGGGTTCGCAGCGTGCGGTTTGCAATGCATTCCTTCTCAGTATGCGAGTTCCTGCGGTGTTTCTCAGGTTGCAGGGCTCCGAGGCTCCTCCCTTCGATGCCAATGTTTTCAGACACCGTAGCTCCGTTCCGTAAACATCTTCCAAGAGCCGCTCGCAACTTTTTGCAGCTGGCGGTCTGCAGACGTAGTCTGTCTCAGCGTGCGAGCTCCCGCACGCTTCGCCGGCTTTTGCTGCGCGGACAATTTTCTCACACACGTCAGCGCCGTTTGTAGGCGTCAGAAAAACATGTAGACATTCACGAAGGGCTCAGTCTGTATATCGTCACATCATTACATACGAAGTCGTCGAACACATCGGTGTACATTCAGCGCTTTGTCCTTCTAGCTGGGTCGCTTCGTGCTGAGGCTGAGGCTGATGCAGGCTGAGGCTGAGGCAGGCTGAGGCTGAGGCCGAGGCCGACGGCAGACTGAGGCTGAGGCTGAAGCAGGCTGAGGCCGAGGCAGAGGCAGGCTGAGGCTGAGGCTGAGGCTGAGGCAGGCTGATGCTGAGGCAGGCTGAGGCTGAGGCTGAGGCTGATGCAGGCTGAGGCTGAGGCAGGCTGAGGCTAAGGCCGAGGCCGAAGGCAGACTGATGCTGAGGCTGAAGCAGGCTGAGGCTGAGGCTGAGGCAGGCTGAGGCTGAGGCAGGCGGAGGCTGAGGCTGAGGCAGGCTGAGGCTGAGGCTGTGACTGCGACTGCCGTTGCCGCTGCGACTGTCCTCGCGAATGCGACAACGACTGCGAGAACAGCAGAATTCTACAACTGGATACTCATCCGAATCTTAAGGGGAATGCTTCCAGATATGCTCCTACACATGGCTGTTAGGTTGCTTTGCCGGGATTAATTCAGGCGTGTGTCCGCTTGCCCCCGCATATCTCCCCTGTTCCTCCTTCCTCCCGCCTCCTTGTACATCCTCCTTGTGGGGGGAGCGGAGAAGGACGAGGCGGAGGAGGAGGGAGAGAAAGCGCGCCTCGTGGTTTGAGTCGTTTGGGGTTTCTCGTCCTGGTGTGAGTCGTTCGGGCCTTTCTTCCTGGTGTGAGTCGTTCGGGCTCTTCGTGGTGTGAGTCGTTCGGGCTCTTCGTCCTGGTGTGAGTCGTTCGGGCTTCTCGTGGTGTGAGTTGTTCGGGCCCCTCATCCTGGTGTGAGTCGTTCGGGCCCTCCTCCTGGTGTGACTCGTTTTCGGGCCCTCGTGATGTTAGTCTTCGGTCCACTCGTCGGGTGAGTCTTTCGGCTTCCCGTGGTGTGAGTCGTTCGGGGCCCGCGTCGTGGTGTGAGTCGTTCGGGCTCCTCGTGGTGTGAGTCGTTCGGGCGCCTCGTCCTGGTGTGAGTCGTTCGGGCCCCTCCTTGTGGTGTGAGTCGTTCGGGCTCTTCGTGGTGCGAGTCGTTCGGGCCCCTCGTCCTGGTGCGAGTCGTTCGGGCTCCTCGTGGGCCCTCTTGGGGGCCTCTTGGAGCCTCTTGGGGCCTCTTGGGGGCCTCTTGGGGGCCTCTTGGGGGCCTCCTGGGGGCCTCGTGGGGCCTCTGGGGGCCTCTTGGGGGCCTCTTGGGGGCCTCTTGGGGGCCTCTTGGGGCCTCTTGGGGGCCTCTTGGGGGCCTCTTGGAGGCCTCTTGGGAGGCTCCTGGGGGCCTCTTGGGGCCATCTTGGAGCCTCTTGCGACCTCCTCTGAAGCGCAACGGAGCGCTGCCCCCTGAGAAGGACAAAATGAGCCCAAAACCTTTGTAAAATCAATGATTTTGCTATGAAGGAAGATGAGCGCGGCCTCCTCAGGACGCCCAAATGGGGCCAAAACCGTAGTAAAATCAATGATTGTTGGTTCAAAGAAGAGCATAGGGGCCAAACTCGGCCCCCCCGTCGGGGCCAGAATCCTCGCGAGGGTCGTCGTTTTTTGGCCCTCCCAGGAGTCGAAAAAAAACCCCCTGCCACCACCCCGGACTCCCTGTCCAGGTCCAGGGGGAGGGGGTAGGGGGAGGGGTAAACCCCTCCCCGAAGGGGAAGATGGGGGGTTGAGAACAGAGAGAGCTCTCTAAACCACTCACGTCCAAAGGGCTGGTGGGATTCGAGCCACAGGCCATTGTCTGAGATCATATCCATGGTGATCGACAGAAAATCATCGGATGCATCTCTCTGTAGACACCATGGGCCAGATTGCCCTATAACGCGATAGTATTCCAAGACATGTAGTTCATAATCAAACTTTGGGTGGTCGTGATAGTTTCTCAAAAATGCTCATGCTCTTTCCACTCATTCCTTCTTCTCGCCCCTTACTCCTCCTTCTCCTTTTGCCACGTCTCCATCCCTCTCTCCTCCTTCTTCTTCTCCTTTTTGTTCTTTCTCTTTTTCTTCTTCTCCTCCCCTTCTCTTCACTGTCCTCACGGTGCTCCTGCTGCTCCTGCTCCTCCTCCTCCCCCTGCTCCTTCTCCTGCTCCTCGGGCGTATGTGCGTATGCCCATTTGTAAGTACACGTATGCGCAAATGAATGTGTATGTGCATGACGTATATGCATATTCATACAATAGGTATATATGAGGTCGAGGTATCTGAAAGAGCGTGTTCTACCGCTGCTGGCGGAAAACCGGGAGGGGTCACTACCGGTTCGAACCCCTCCCCCCCCTTCCGGAACACCGGGGGGGGGGTGTTTAACCGCATGCCGATGATAATAAAGGGACCCCCCCCCTTCAGTGTTTAGAGTTGATTATCGTCGCCCTATACAAAATTCAAATTGGGCGGCGAGCGCTGAGGCCGAACTTCATTACCACCTCGAAACGCTATGTTGAGATAGCAACATCAAGCGATGTTGATATAGCAACATCAAGCGAAGCGATCACACCTTTTCAGGATGTGTCAAGCGAAACCAATAATTTTGGGAGGCAGACTCAAACGATACGAGCAATGTTCTTATTATTCTTCTACTTTCCTCTTCTTCTTTTATATTTCTATATGTCCTCACGCTCGCCTGAACTTTTTTATCCCTGGGGTTGATTATCCATGGAAAATGAAGCACATGAGCTACCCTACACGAGCACTTAAAAAAATCAATTTTCATAAAGCGTTTGTACATTAAAATTGATAGATTTGTAACTTTGGATTTTTCCTTTCTTCGTCCTCTTCTTATTATCCTCTTCTTCTTCTTTCTTATTATTATTATACTGTATTCTTCTTCTTTTATATTTCTCTCTGTCCCCACGCTCGCCTGAACTTTTTTATCTCTGGGGTTGACTATCCATGGAAATTGAGGCACATGAGCTACCCTACACGAGCACTTACAAAAAAACAATTTTCATGAGAGATAAGCCATTGTTGAGGATATTTCTATGAAAACTAAACGCCAAGGATGTCTCAAAACGTGCTCGGCTTGGTCTCCTCTTGATCATCTCTTACTTCCAGATTATGCTGAGGTCTGCTGGGCTACTTTTATTATCTCTCCCTGAACCCCGAACTTTATTATCCCCTAGTGTTTATTCTCACGGGCATGAGGTTACCGGTTCGAACCCCTCCCCCCCCCCAGTTCATCATGAAAAGGGGGGGGGGTCACTACCAGTTCGAAGCCCCCCCCCCTCCCTCGAAAACCAAGGGGGTGGTGCGGACAGTGGTGGGGACGGTGTTGGTGGGGACAGTGGTGAGGGGACAGCGGGACAGTGGTGGGGACAGTGGGACAGCGGGACAGTGGTGGGGACGGTAGTGGTGGGGACAGTGGTGGGAACAATGGTGGGAACAGGGGGGACAGTGGACAGTGGTGGGGACGGTGGTGGTGGGGACAGTGGTGGTGAGGACAGTGGGAATGAGGTGGAAACAGTGGGATAGTGGAGGGTACAATGGTGGTGGGGACAGTGGTAAAGGCAGTGGCGAGGACGGCGGTGGGACAATGGGACAGAGGTACAGTGGGGACAGTGGTGGGGACAGTGGGGACAGTGGTGGGAACAGTGGGACAGCTCAGTGGGACAGCGGAGGAGTCAGTGGGACAGTGGGGACAGTGGGGATAAGCAGTGGTTGGGTCCGTGGAGACAGTGGGAGAGTGGAACCGTGGTGGGAACAGTGGTGGGAACAGTGGGGACAGTGCGACAGTGGTGGGGGCACTGGTGTGGACAATAGGGACGGTGGTGGAACCAGTGGGGACAGTGGTGGTGAGGACAGTGGCGCTTGGAACAACAGTGGGGGATGTGATGCGAGCGGTGGTAGGGACCGGGAGTCGTTTGCTGGCGGTGCGTGGGGGGGGGGGTTCGAACCGGTAGTGACCCCCCTCTGGTTTTCGAGGGGGGGGGGTGGGGGGGGTTCCAACCGGTAGTGACCCCCCCCGGTTTTCCGGATCCGGGGGGAGGGTTCCGAACCGGTATTGACCCCCTCGGTTTTCGAGGGGAAGGGGGGGGGGAGCGGTTCGGGGAAGGGGGGGTTTTTGCCGGGGGGGAAGTGGGGGGGGGGTTTTCCCCCCCAGCAGGGGGGGGGGGATGTCGGAGGGGGGGGGAGACCCCCGGGTTCCGGAGGAAAAGGTTGGCAATTTTCGACAGTAAAGCGGCGGTGGATCACGCTCTCTCAGGTATCAGTATATGTGTTCACGTACATACATAGGTTTGTCGCACATGCGTTATATATATGAGCATATGTGTATCAGGGCGCGCTACTTCATTGTATTGCCCTCATTGCATGCCCGCCACAG